TATATATATATAGAGAGAGAGAGAGAGAGAGAGAGAGAGAGAGACACACACACACACACACATATATATATATATATAACGAAAAATACAAAACACTAAAATCAAGTTTTGATGAATTCATAAAAAAATTTAAACCTTGTTATAAGATCATGGGAGGGCTAAGGACTGCTGATAGAATTATAAGCTATTACTCTAATATGCCAAATTTTCTTTCACGTTCCTTGTCGATTTTGTGTCTTCCATTCATAATAATTTCTGTCTTATAGAACTCTTTCACAATTAGAGCCTAGTCATGGGTTTGTAAACTGCTTAATTGACTTTTTACTGATAACTATATATAAACTATTGTTACATAAAAATTTTGAGTAATGAGTTTCCAAAAATCGGGTCCAGTACTCCAAGAGTGGGAGAATTTCACGTGCGGTGTTGAAAACATCTTTTATGCGATCACATGGACGTTTTCAGTTTTCTATTGAGTGGCTCTATTATTGAACTGCTTTATGAATTCAATGGAGGATAAACAGATTGGAGTTAACTAAACAAGGAATTTTTCATTTCCCACAATCTGATGTAAAATGTGCAGTATTCAATGTAGTTAACAATATATTGGTCACACCAAGTTACATAATAGCATAACAAGTAATTCACCACACCTAATTTGTCTGCTACACAAAACACTGCCCACTTTTTACTATATGAAAGTTGAATTTGATGTGATGGGGTGCATCCTATGTAACTATGCTTGGCCAATAGATTATTTACTACACTAAATAGTATACACTTTGAAAGAAAACTCAATCTGTTTATGGCATGATTGACTAATTTGCCTTTGAGAAAGCCAATGTGGTTGCTATTAAGTTATTTTCCCTGCGATTCATGGTGATCAAGCAAACTATAAGGAGATAAAAAACACAAGCTCTCTATTTTGAGAAGAGACGGGGTAATTGTTGTACTTTATGAAACTGTATAAATTAACCAAGTTACCATCCTTGGTTTAGCAAACAACAAATGTAGCAGGTCTAATACAGGGAACCAATCTTCTGCCAAATAATTGAAGACATGTTATTTGGCTTTGTTTGTAATAATGACGTAGTGCTCACCCATTAACTATTGAACTTAGTTTGTATATGGTGATTATATTTTTAGGTACTGATAATGAAAAAAAAATAAAACTATCAAGTATAAAATAATGGTACAATCACTTTTAAGATAGTTATTGTTAAAGTTAATAAACTTTTCATACATAATAATTTGTAATAGATCGACACACTTCTCTTCACTGTTCCCAGTCCTGGCTGGATTAAAGAACAAGATCAAACTCTACTATAAGATATTGGATTGAGTTGGATTAAGTTCAGAAATAAAGTTTCCTGTTTGAATTAGTCCAACATGATATTAGGTAGGTTTGAATCGGATAATGGAATTTGATTATAGATTTGACATTGTATTTAGGATAGAATTATAAAAATAGTACAGTTTCAAATATGAAATGAAGTTTATTAGATAAAGCCAGTTTTGACCAAATTAAGTTTAACCTAATTCAAATATTATGTGAACCAATAGATAGGCCTATCTATTATCACAACAGAGGCTGTCTAGTGATGACAAGAAATTGCCAGTAGAGAGCACCGGTCTAAATTCAAAGCTCCTTTTAATAGGTAAGACCAGTTCAACATATTTTCCAATTCATGTTGGCATTTCACGTCAAGAACGTGCCTAGAATAACAAGGGCCAAGCCATTATTCGTTCAAAAGCAAGAAACAATAATCAACAACTAGTACAACTTTTAACTAGTACCACACTTTTTTTTCTGGCTCCAAAAATTTGTGGGTCCTCATGTTTTGGTCCAGATTAGGCACACTCATGTGAAGCTACCCCAAGTCTTACACCTGACATGTTTCTAAACATTCTTCACACTCATCAAGCAATTTTAGTTAGCGCATGGCTTGAACCCCTATATATATGTGTATTTTCTTGAGATTGCAATTCAAACCAAAGTCTTATCTAGCTCTACCACAAAAAAATTCTCTCACTTAATAATATCTTTATACTTTGGTTCATATCTAGCTTAGCTTTCTCCATCATGAAGACTAGTAACAAATTTGTGGGAATTGCTCATGCCAAGCAGAAACTGCAGAGAACACTTTCACAAAGAATCAGAATGGCTTCAGCCATTGCTGATGTTCCAAAAGGGCACTTGGCAGTGTATGTTGGAGAGAATTATAAGAGGTTTGTGATTCCAATATCTTACCTTAGCCACCCTTTATTCAGAGACTTGTTGGATTGGGCTGAAGAAGAATTTGGATTCAATCACCCAATGGGTGGTCTCACTATTCCATGTACTGAAGATTACTTCATTAGTCTAACTTCTTCTCTTAATTAATTGTTCTAAATTAAGCCAGAGATGGTTTCATCAAATTGACCCATTGGACATTGGTTGCTTTGATTACCAAGTTAGATAGGAGCAATAATATATGGTCTCTACCATTCATTTTGTTCTGGAGATTCTCCTTAATCCAATTGCATCCCAAGTGATGCCTTCAAAATTTGTATATAGATTTTTCGCAATTGAATTCAAGCAAGTTTATGTTTCCAATTATTGCTTTGAAAATTTCACTGTAACCTTCGATTAGCATTGTCTCCATTTTAATTTAGGCTTAGCAATGAAATTTGAAGTTAAAAGGGTAACATAAATTTGCCTAATAAACTGTCTTTAGCAATGTATTAGTTTCTAACTCAGAAATATCTGAAGAAAAAAAAACAACAAAAAAAAAAAACAAAAAAGCTTTTCTTTTTAACTCTGTAGTTTGTTCTGTCACTCTGTTATTGTAGGATTAAGCTTCTCCAGATATATTCATCATCTCCTCTTGTGTATTAAATATCAACAATAACATAATTATACGCACCAACAATAACATCATTACACGGTGAACAGAACAACAGTAACGTCAATATACTGTTAACAAAGCAATTATTGTTTTAAAATGTCAAAGTTATTTTTATAGAAATTTGTTTTAGCATTAATTAGTATTGTAGACTAGAGAATATTGCTAAAACAATCAACAGATTGAAAACGAATAATGTGCTTAAATCTAAAAGAAAAATGTTATTAAAGCAATCTTTTCAATAGACATGTATCAATTATAAAATTGGTAAAAAGGTAAAATCTGTCTCTCATCAAAATTGTTTTCGGTCCCTACTCTTTAAAAATTAATGGTTTTGGTTCTTATATTTTTTGAAAAGTGGTCAACTTTGTCTCTCCTCAAATCAAAATAAAGTACAACATTCTCCTTCGAAATTTATATATAAATAAAAATAACTAATTTCATTTGAATTAAAAAATTTATTAAATGCATTTAATCTTTTTAATTTTATATAAAATATACTATATTTTCTAAAATAGTTTTAACTACATTCATAATAGATAGTATTCTCATTTATTATCATAAATATATTTTTTAATTAAGAACATTAAATAAGATTGACTTAGTTAAAATTTATTTATATTTCAATTAAAAAAAATTTAAAATTGTTTTTGTAAGTTCAGAAAGAGTACTAGAATATATTGATATAACAATATCGTTTTAACATTTTTGTTACTTTTTTTGCAAAATCAAAAATATTGAATTTCTCTTTTTTGCATAATTTCTTCCTTCCATAAACTAAAACAAATGGGAGAAGGAACAAATTTTACATGCTTTTTCATCACCTTTCCTCTCACTTTATAAAACTGTCAGCATTATGTTGGTTGTAAAACAGGGATCATATCTTTTAAATAAAGTTTTAAATTTGAGTTACATAAATGAAAGAAAAAAAATCATGGATAGAAGAGATCTTTATTAAAGATGTCCAACTAAATTTTTCATTAAAAAAAATAGTCATTTAGACAATATTTCACTATTGTAACATAATAACCCAAATATATATAGTTTAAATTTGTTGATTTATATGAACTAAAATTAATTATAGAAAATTTTAAAAGGATAAAAACTAAAGAAAAATTATATAGTTACAAAAACCAGAATGAATCCTAAAATTGAACCTAAAACTCTTGTGTTAAATTACATATAGAAGGAAAAGGCAGGAACCCTCTTGGCAAGGTTGATTGGATTTGGATGTCCTCACATCATGAAAATGCATATATACATTCTGGTTTTATGGTATGCAATGTTTTCCATATTTAACAGTGAAGCATGCATACTCATAATAGTTAGTGCATGGAAGTGAGGGTGCAAGTTCCGTAAAGTTGGCACCTCAACATTGGAGGTCACCATTTTTCATCATGCAACAACTATTTTCCATCATAAACACAAATTTGGCAGCCACACCAAATCTGTCACCTTTTAAAAATCCTTGGTGTGTTGTCATCATTCATCAGCCATCAGTTAATTCTTTTGAAACTCAAACAAAAATCTTTAGGCTTAAGGTGCGGATAACAAATAAATTGACTCTGAAATTTAACTTTTTTTATTAGAATATCTATGAACTTGATAATTAACATCTATCAGAAATTTTTATTTTTATTAAAATAACTAGGAAAGTGCTATGATTAACATCTATCAGTATTTCATTATAAAAGTAACATCGCGTCACCGATCAGATAAATATCTCCGTAGTTAAACCATTAAAAAAATTATGACAAACATATATACATTCTATTTTGACGTAGATTGAGCTGAAAAAAAACTAAAATATGATAAATGTAAAATATATATATATATAATAAAAAAATTAAAAAATGAAATAGAAAAAGAAAATTAGTTAAATCACACTTTTGTCCCTCTTTAATTTTTAACTCACAATTAAAGTTTATTAATTTTTAATTTTGATTCTTAACTTTAAAAAATTCATAATCTTATTTTAACCATCAAATATGCATATGTTTTGACTGTTTAAATTGAGAAAAAAATATTTATAAGAAAGTGAAAACTTAATATTACTTACATATGACATAATAATTATTACTCTGAAAATTATATATTGATGTATTACGCTCTGTAAGTGTGCATATTTAACAATTGAATTAAAATTATAATTTTCAAAATTAAAAACTTAAATTATGCTATTAAAATAGAAAAACTAAATTAAAAATTAAGAATTAAATAGAAATTAAAAATACCATTTAACTTATAAAAAAAGTATGAGTATGTCATTGTAATTTTCCTAAAAAAATAATCCTTTAATAAATATTTTTGGGTGAAATTAATACTTTTATATGAATTAATCACTTATACACTGTCGATGTAAAGTTTTTTTATACTGGCAATCAATTATATCTTTTAATTGTGTCATGTCACTATTACAGTAACATGGCACAATTAAAAGATATAATTAATTGTAAGTATAAAAAAACTTTATACTAACAGTGTATAGATGATTAACTCATTTTATATTACATCAGCATAATGTAGGCGCCGTTGTACTGCGTTTATGACCGATGAGTTTGGCGCCCACATGGCCATTGTCATCCTTTGCTAGGTAAGACTAAGATATAGAGCTGTCAAAATGGGCTTGGCCCGGCGAGCCAACCTGGCTCACCTCGGGTTTGAGCCGGGTTGGGTTAAAAAAAATTTGAAAATTTTAATACGGGTTAAATTTGAACCCGGCTCACCACCAACCCGGCTCACCCGGGTTGAACCCGTGGTGAGCCGAGCTGGCCCACCAACCCGTGATTAAATTTTTTTTTGAAAAAATACAATAATTATTGGGTCATGGTGCAGTCTAACATGAGACAATAATAATTTAATGTTGGATTGTGATTTGTAATTTTTGTGATTTTGGATTGTATTTGAAGTTTAAGATAATTTTGGATTATATTTATCTATTTGAGATTATTTAGATTTGATTTGATTGTATTTAAAATTATCATTTAATGTTTGGGATGAATAATTTATTTAAATATGTCTTAATTAAGAATTTCATATTTTTAAAATAAGTTTAAATTTTTGGGCTTTAGTTGTATATTAAGAAAAAAAAATAAAAAAATTATTTTTTTTTAAGGTGAGCCAACCCGTTTAACCCACCAACCCGTGGTGGGCCGGGCCGGGCTCGATTTTTTTGAGCTCACTGATAAATGAGCCGGGTAGGATTGGCCCACCAAATGGCCAACCCGTGGTGGGCCGGGCCGGATAGCCCGTTTTGACAGCTCTACTAAGATACATAAATAAACGGGCAAAGAAATGCATAGGTACAACGTTAACGGCATCTTTGGATGCAATATTTCAGGATCCCTTGCTACAAATGTTTTAACAAGAAGGTTGATATGTGATACAAAACAAAGACAAAAAAAAATAATGAAAATGAGAATTAAAATTAAAATCAAAAGTACACTTAAAAAAACTCAGTCTCATATTGATCAATCATCAAATTAATGTATATAGATAGAAATTTTACAAGTATGTTTTATATAATATTGAATAGGATTTAAAATTCACATTTTGAAATGGTATATAATTTATCTTAAATTTATTAACAAATTATTTGTCGTATTATTTACATTAAGTTCAATAATATCAAGTCTAAAAGATATATAAGAAAAATTCAAGTCTTATATGAATCGTTAATAAAACCAAATTAATTTAAATAAATTAATAACAAAGCTTAATAACTATATACACCTTTTTAAGTTTAGACTAAAATTATAAAAGAATATTTCTTTCAGTATTATAGTATTGATGAGAATATCTTCTGATTTTATTAGGATTAGTATCCTTCAAAACTTTAATTACATTAAAATTATTCTTTCCAAAAAAGAATTATTCAAATTCGAAATCAAATTTAAAGATCAAACGAAACATATATGTTGATAAATTATAATATATATATATATATATATATATATATATATATATATATAAGTAAAAGATAATTGTGACTTTAAAAAATACATTGATAAATTTTTTTTGTTTGTTTACATTGTTTTATGAGAAAGAAAACATAAAGAATCTGAATATACCGATAAGATGAGAGTGGAAAAGATAAAGAAATTGAAATAAGCAGAAATAATTGACGGATTCTTGGCATATATACATACATTCATCTAATCACTGACGTGAAGAACGTGGCCACTTACGGATCAACAGAGAAACAGTGTAACTTTGGGGGGAAAACGGTGGGCAAAGTAGTTAATATGCCACCAGATTGGACCTGACACTGACAGCATATATAATCTCTATAATGCAATCATAAATATACATATTTGAAATAAATATCTTATCTTATATTCCTTTTCCTTATGGCTTACGGTTTACTATATATATGTGTATGCATGTCTTGTGGTTCAGATTTTGATATACAGCTAGTGTGCGTGGTTTTGGCACTAGAGTTCAAAAATGGGAATTCGTTTGGTTCCGGAGATTTTTCAGCATGCAAGGCAAATTTTACGAGTGAGGTCTCAATCGAGGCAGCGATTTTCAGGGGAAAGTTCAAACAATATTTTTTATGTACCAAAAAGTCATTTTGCAGTGTACGTGGGAAATGAGGAGCACAAAACGAGGTTTGTGGTCCCAATATCGTACTTGAGGCAACCTTTGTTTCAAGACTTGTTGAATCGAGCTGAGGAAGACTTTGGTTTTGACCATCCAATGGATAATCTTCTCATTCCTTGTGCCATTGATGATTTTCTTAATCTCACTTCTCGTTTAAATAGTTGATATTGGTTGAATCATTACTATGATTTGTATTTTTGCTAGTTATACATGAGTTTACAAGAAAAATATAATAATGCAATATTGCAGTGGTACCTAAATCTAAAAAAAAGAAGAAATTTGGAGTGAATAGAAATAATGAAAAGGGTAGAGTGGAATAGGATGACAAAATAATTAATGGCATATTAGATTGTTTCCGCACAGCGAAACAGCGAATGAAATTATGGAACAGACCAAATGGGCTTCCTTGTAGTTTATGCCGTCAAAATTAGTGAGCAATGAATTCAGCAATATTAAGAATTAAGATGTTTCATTTATATGCAATATGCATGCCTCATTCATCTGTACCCGACAACGTTTGCCCGATAACATTGTCTTTCATAATGTTAACATTCTTTCGCCAAATCGGATACTAATACTATACTACAAGTTCAATCAATTTGAATATGAAATTAAATTCAATTTAGTAAAGAGAGCGCGATCACTTATCTATGTATAAATCTACTCATATTCGATTCTTAAATAATTCAGACTATTTAGTATTTACCATCCTCACTCAATTAAGAAAATGATGATTAATTGAACGTAGTTTTAAATGACCTACATGAACTCTCAATGCTTAATTACAATTTATGTGGAATATGTGTATTAAGTTTATCTCAGACCTGTTATGAAAAAAACAATTTATATTTCAACTTTTGATTATGTTTAGCATTAGGGCTTACACACACAATTTATATTTGAACTTTTGGTTATGTTTAGTATTAGGGGTTACTACTTACTACACACACATCTTCATATTAAAGATTTGTTTTTAGATATCATCCAAAAAAAAATTCAATTAATAAAGATAATTATATATATATAAAATCATATTTATCTTTTTGAATAATGTGAGACTTTGCTTACATCCTAACAAGTTAAAATATTATAATCGTTGTCAAGCCAACATAAATGCACCATGCGAGATGGATCGGTGGAAAACATATCCGAGTCCAACCCACTCTCAACAAATGGGCCTGGAAAGGTGTCTGCAAACCCGCCCCCAATGAATAGAATAGAATAGAATGGAATAGCGCTTTTGGATATTAAAAAAAGAATGTGAAAAAAGAGAAAACACATCAAGATTGAAGGGACCCACATGCATGCAAGGAAATCCATTAATAAATTATAGTTCTTATCCCAAAGAGTTATAGCCACTACATATCTTTCTGAATAGTTATAAATCTAATATTATGAATTTTATTTCCTCAGCTTGTACGGAAGATATCTCAATTGACAGTGACTATTTTTTTTTCTTTTAAGAAGAGTGTTAAGATTACATTCATTCTACCACATTTTTTATTTTATAAAATTAAAAGATTAATTAATCAATATATTACATTCATAAAAATTTATTTAATTTAGTTTTCATTCATTATAATTATCTATAAATTAAATTTTAATATTTTAAAAAATATCAATAATTAAAATATTTTATACTATAATATAAATTATTTATTATAAATATAATATATAATTTTTTATAAAATAATAATGGATGAATCCATAGGAGGATGAAACCCTAATATATCGGTGAGGGGGTGGGTGTGTGTGACATTCTCCGGTGGCAGGAATCTGACAAACGAACACCGGAAGTTGCACCATCTAGATATTGTTCTGTGACTGCTTTCTCATTCTGATTCTCTTGTCACCTATCACCTTAATTCTCCATCTTCTCACATTTTTATCACTCAATATTCTTTTCGGACTATTACTATTACTATTACATCAACCACTACATTGCAACTTCCCAAATGTTCTTTAGAGTCGACAATAAAAACTAACTAATCGAAACACAATCTAGAAATGAAAAGTAGAAAGAAAAAGTGTTAATGCTTTAGATGTTTGAAATGTATTTGCTATTTCATCAAATTCTCAAGCTTTCATTCTTGTTAACTTCCGTCTTACTATAAGTTTTAACGTAGAAATATGATATGAAATATTAATTTTAGTAGTTAATAATTTTAAACTTTTAACTATGTCTTATAATTAACTTTTGACTGCCTTGTACTTAACATATTCCTACATTTTGCTCTCAAAACAACTTCTTTCTTTTTTAAGAAAACTTTCAAAACAACTTTATGTATTTATAAAAATCAAATTTTATTACATTTCTATTTTTATATTATATGTTTAATTAAAATTACATTGTATTAAAAAAAACGTTTATAATTTAATTTTTCTATATTCTCATTAAATTATTTTTTTGGTATCATGTAATAGTACTATACTAATCGAATACGTATGATTTTAACTTTGCCGTGTTTTTTTTTGTACGTAAAAGGCTGAAGACATATCTAGATAGTGTGGGACCGTAGAAATCGTTGTAATGACCAATCAACAATAAAAAACTAACTAATTAAACATCTCATCAGAAGAAGAGAAAAAAAAAAGTCTTAATGCTTTTGGTGATTGTAAAGTGTTAGTATTACTATTTCATGAGATTCTCAAACTTCCATCTTGGCTAACTTCCCAATCCGAATCTTGGTGTCGGTTCACTGATCGACTCCAACGTTCATAAACCATTAAATATTATTTAAATGATCAAAATAAATAAATAATATATATATGATTTTTTTTTTCGTCCCTGGAGTATCCACCGTGAATAACAGTGACATATAATTTTTTAATTCATAAAATGATAAAACGACAAATAGAGGATAACACTTGTATAACTATCACATAAAAAATTAATAACATACTAAAAAGTTTTGGGTTAAAAATTAGTTAATAACTAGAAGAAGAAACATGATTCTTTTAAGTGATCATGTAGCTTCTAAATAACTTTTAATCATGCTAAACCATGTATTGTCCAAATATAAGAATGTGATATAAGTATGTTATTATCATTAAATTAAAATTAAACTAGACTTTATTTTAAATTATAATAAGATTAAATAATTTATGCACCAAAAAATAAAGAGTTTTTACTATCACTTAATCATGAATCATGATAAATTTATTAATTTTTATATAATTTTTTTAAAATTCATATCCACAGTAATTTTTAATTAATTGATGATGTATAAAATTTTACACTAGTAACTAAAAAAAACTTCATAATAATTACTATTATTTTTAATGTTTAAATTAAATTTATTAATTATTATATCACTGTAAATATTTTATTGACTTTTAATTCAAATTAAATCAATTATATATAAAATTATAAGCAATTTAATATATTTATTTTTGTTTTTATTTTTATTTTTATTCTTGTTTAAATTATTTAACTTAACTTCCTTCAAATTGTTATTGACACTTTATATATACTTTTATATGAATAAAAATATTATACTTCATTTCTATATTGTAAAACTTTTACACCCGAGAAAAAAAAATTATTTATAAAAATATTGAGCATGAGAAAAAAAAAAAAAAAAAAAAAAAAAAAAAAAAAAAACCTGTACACTTAAGTTTTAGTTGAGCGAAGAGTAAAAGGGAAATTAATGAATAAAGATGTTGTAATCCTAATAGGCCCAGCTGAACAAATAAGGCCCATGGATGTTCACCATTAATATATTAAATTAAGTGCAAGTCTATGAAGACAAGAAACATAAGATATTAAGATTGTTGGTACGCAAAAACGTTGAAGGATTGAACAATAAATGAATGTGAAGTTATTTGGATGTTGTGTGGCGCAAGTGTGAAAATAAAAAAAGGAAGAGAAGGAGAGAAAAGAAATGAATATTGGATGGAGGGTTTTCGTTTTCAGCGTACGGCACTCTCTTTTGCACACTCGACTTCTCCGATGGAACTTAGCTGGCTACTCAACAGAACAGACCCATGTGAGCCATTCATCACGTGGGTCCCTCACGTGCCTGTGCTCATCTTATAAATACGTACGCATTCACTCTCAAACTAAAATTTTGAATTTGCATAATGGGTATTCGTTTGCGGTTTATGGTTAATGCAGGAAAACAGAGTACGTTGAAGTCGTCGAATGTTCCAAAGGGGCACGTGGCGGTGTACGTAGGAGAGTTGCAAAAGAAGAGGTTTGTGGTTCCAATATCGTATTTGAACCATCCTTTGTTTATTGATTTGCTCAACATAGCAGAACAAGAGTTTGGGTTCAACCATCCCATGGGTGGCCTCACTATTCCTTGCAAAGAAGATGCCTTCATCAATCTCACCACTCAACTGCGTGCCTCATAATCATCAAACTCAAACGTCTATCATCATTTTCCTTCTAACTCATTTTGACAAACACAATCTTTTATTTTCTTTGTATAATATTACTATGTTAAACTTTATTAACTCCACGCAAGTCAGGAGAATCAAACCATGCCAACTGCCCAACTGTAACTTCCTTTCAACTTCTCTTCTCTCTCTGTAAACTTCACAATTTATTTATTGTTTAAAGACTTTGTTAAAATAATTGTATAATTTTTTTTAAAGGATTGATATAAAAGTTTAAATATAATTGTATAAATAATTTAAGTTTAAACTTTATGAGCTTAGACATAAAAGTTTAAATACAATTGTATAAATAAAACCTACTTAAATTAAATTAAATTTAAACTTTTCGGCTTCTGGCGTTTGCCCCTAGTACCGTTACTTAGTTGTCATGAGCTGCTGCTTCAGCTTGTCAATGTCATGACACCAGTTTATATTATTTTTGGTTCATTTTTATTCTTATTTCAATCCCTCTAATACATTTTATTTATTAATTTACTTTAGTCTCTCACTCTTTATCTACTTTAGTACTCAACAAAAACTAGGTAGCGGCAGAAAGCCAGAAACTAATACCAAAATTTAAATATTACAATAACAATTTTTAAAAAAACTAAAATAAAAAATACACACACACATACACTTACTTGTTATAAAAAAATAAAAAAAATTATTCTCTACACAAATATTCTCCAATCGGTTAGTTAGATTTCTATCTCACCTGTCGTGTCTTCAGCTTGTAAAAGGCTTTCAGTTTTTATTTTGGTTTACTTTTTAGTTGAACAGATAGAAGTCAAAATGGTAGTAGCAAACTAGTAATAATAAATTAATAATAGTTAGAACGTCTATGAGTGTGTTTCGGTTGACATTTGCAAAGCCAATCTTCAATGAAATTAATTGTACAAAATTCATTAAAAAGTTGGAGTAAAATAATTCATGTTTGGATATTTTCGTTTTAAAAACAAGTAAATAGTAAAATTTAAATTTTTCAATCTAATGCAAAAACTAGTTAAACTAGCTTCCTAAATACAAAACATAAATATTTACCTAAAATCATGTTAACTCATACTCCAACTTAATTTTGAATGATTATTAAGGAACAAATCATTCTTTTTTTAATACCTTCAGGAACAAATCATTCTCAAATACGAAGATAGAATATACTGAAAGATCTTATAAAAAATATCAAAATCGTCTGATTTTTTAGTTTACATCTGGAGAGTTCTAGACAAAAAATACATGTAACGATAGCACATACATGAAATATCTGCATCTCTATCATCATACATATACATATATATAATCCGCGTTGCAAAGGCCATGACCTAGCTGCAGGTAATCACAAAAGAAAGAGTTGTGAGCCATTTATATTCATTCTATCGCGGGTATAACCTTGTTCACCAAAATGAACTTGCTGAGATGTCCTATAGTTTCCCTGCTCCTAGCATTCAATGACCTCAGCACTCAAGAAGGCATTATCTGCTTTCTTGGGTCTAAATCACTCTTCTATTATACCATTAGGATAGGATGAAGGAGCTTTCAACTTATATATTGAAAAAACATTAAGATGCATGGTTTAGTGAATGCTTGTCTTCCGCTGGTAATCAAAACATGAACACTTTAGTCCAAAGATAGATTGCGAGTTCGGATGTTTCGTTGCTGAAGACTAATACTTCTGCCCAGTCGTGATAGGGATGAGCTCCAATCACCTTGTTTTCCTCTGAATGTTGCTGGAGATCCCAGATTACCACTAAATGGAGATGCAAGTTTCGGCTGAAACCATTTTTTCAGAGCCACACCGTTAATTCTAAGCTTCCCATTCGATTCATTACCCTGGCAAGGAATCTGAAGCCTCCTCAATAACGCTGCAATTGCTTGGCCAGCTCTGAAGCCAAAATATTGCACATTGGTTACACAAATTTCTTAAACAATATTATCTAGACACTTTATACACTAAAAACATTGAATAATTTCACACAATAACACCTTCCAATTTTTCATTCACATGTAAATCACGTTTATGACAATCTCCTTAAAATATAGTGCAAACTGCAAAACTGCAAGCAACTACATATTACCCGGGATAGTCAAACACCCGCTTAAAGAAAAAATTAGGAAAATTGAAATTTGACTTGATCGTTCCATTTGACCACTGAAGCTTAAGATATTCAATGTACATGTACAATTATACATCTTGTAACTAACATGTGGATGTGTCAAATACAGTAAATGACTCACTAAAATCTCTATCAGTAAAATATAAAAAATATGCCAATGTGCAACAAATGTAATGGATCTTCAATGAATATAACATGTAATAACTGATATAAATGCTGTGTTTTCATTGGAAAATAACCCCAAAATACCATCAGAATAACATGTAAGTTATGTCCGTTAAGATTTACAAATTTGATTTAGCAACCAAAAATGTATATAGGCGTCATGCATTTAAACATAAAGTGGGTTCTTCCAACTCAACAAATTTGAATAGAGTAGTTTATATTGTACGTTTAAACAGTAGATTGTTGCAGATATGTGATGCAACTATATGGTTAAAATCATTTTCAAAACGGATGCATTTGTATTGACCATCTCACCTTCCTGCAAGGTTAATAATCTTCTTCCCCTTGGGAGACACAACTTCTGTTTTCTGAACTGGCAATAAAATGATTATATTGGGCAATCTTGCACCTGCAAAGAATATTTTCATCGGGATCCCCAACCAAAGAAGTCAGTACACTATAATGCAATATTTTCTACCACATGCGTTCTGTTGGTTTAGTAAAGAGAAATTCTAATTCCTCCGAAAAATTGAGTCGAAAAAACAGCCAATCCATTTAAAAACTTACACCTGTCATTACATTTGATTATAAAATAATTGATTTTAAATTTTAAAATTTTTTATCTTTGGTCGGAGGATGATTCAGCTTATTTGATTCGGAGGATATATCAATTCTCTTTAGTAAAACTTGTAAAAACACATCTGACAATTATTAATACAGTTTGTCTAAACAATGATTGTTAAAACAGAAAAAAGAGAATCCTGGAATAGTATTTCAAAACAAAAACTGCAGGTTGTAGACTTAAATCATCACCAATTGAAAATTTCAAAATGGATGGCTAAGAGATTGATTAGGAAAAATGTCATAATAACAAGGTTTTAATCACAATATTTGTTGCTGAGTACAGAAAACAAGTCCTTATTATAGTTGGCAAAATCATTAATTAGAAGGAAAGAAAAAGCAGTGCTGAGAAATGGAGGATATATGGAGACTGACTAGCTTATGTGTAACAATCATGTTTTGTTATAGATAATGATACTCAAGTAAAAAAAATAAAGCATATCCATGTTAATCAACTGTTGCCAGCTTTTCCTTTCCATGCGATCATTGAAAAGGTTAAGAAAAAAAAACAATATCAACTTTCACTGTACATTTAATTCGTTTACTTATCCAGGTAGTGGAATTATTAGTCATCAGCAAGAATTATAAGTAATGAGAGGAGAATATTTCTATGAATATAAAGTTTAACAAGTTAAATGCAGCACTGATATTAATAAAGGATGATGGATATACCTGCTGCTAGTCGATGCTTGAGACCTTTCAAAACAGTTATCAGGTACACCTGTTAAAATTTGCATGGATTTAGGGATATGGATTTAACAATTAGGGAGTGTTTGGTACTTGGAGTTGGGAATGTTAGTTTCTCACATTTGGTTTATCATCTAAAAAGTAACATTCCTATGAAACATGGTTTTCCATGATTTTTTTTATGTAGGTTTCCCGCTAAATTATTACCATGGGGGTGGGTGAAAAGCTAACATTCCTAAGTTAAAAGGAGTATTTTATCGCGATAAAAATATTACATTACCTTAATTTATTTATTTAAAGTAGTAAAAATCTTTTATTCCCAAATAACATTTATAAATATTTAATGATTCATGAGAATTGTGATTCCTGATTCTGGGTATGAAAAAACTTTCCATCTACCAAATGCCTCCTTACATTGGCACAAGTGTCTATCTTGTGCATGTGTTTGTATGTCAAATTTGTAAATGCCTCAGTTGTACATGAAGTATGAAAGAGAGACATGAACAGTGGATAAATAGTGAAACGAGAGACCATTGGATCCATCATTAGAACTTTTGGAGAAAATTTGCACATCAGTCATAGTAGATCGTATATATGCACCAAATATCAAATGTGGTTATAAAATAAAACCTAAGAGTACTGCACACACTGACAAAAAAAAAAGGTTGAAAGTCTCTCAAAAAACAAAAGGCAAAAAATACTTCCATTTATTTATCTTGAGTGCTAATTATATGTACAATGACTCTGAAGCACATTTTTTCTGAAACAACGTGATTGAATTTTAAACTTGTTTGTTAACCTTGGAATATAGCAAGCATATATTACTTGTACCCAACCTGATTCCTATAAATAGAAATTCAGTGAATGTAGTTCCCAAATATAATTGAGTTAATGAATCCCACACATACAGTTCTATCTTTCTCTAGCCTTTCACAGTTAAAATGCAAAGCTTTTATGCAACATAAATAATCATTGTAGGAATTTGACAAGCTCACCTCAGCAGTAGAAGCATGCAATTCTTTAGCATCAATAACTATAGGACTCACTTTAAATGATACCGATGGAACAACTCCATGTGAAGCAGATTCCTACATAATTATTACAGCATCATATGATGGTCCAGGTTCCCTTAGAAACAATAAAGACACTAGACATTGAATAGAATCAGTTTCAGCTCCATACTGACCTCAAGTATTGAAAATGCACGAGGATCATATTCACCAAATCCATCTATTAATGAACAGAGGCTTGACCTTCTTGAAGTTTCTGCACTTACTCTTAGGTTCTCAACAAGTCTATTTTTCACAGATGTATCATACGGGAGTTGCAGGCATCCCAGAATTTGTGACAATATTTCACTTGTAGGTTTTTCACCAGCTTCAATTGTTTCACGATACACCATTAAGGCCAGTGATGTCCTTAATAGTAAAAGCAGAATTAAAAACTTCCACAAAGAAAATAATCTAGAAGAGAAGCCTGAGAAAATTAATGATCATAAAAAACAGGGAAGGGTGTCTTACAGACTTCCCTTGTGTTATTAACTAAATTTTTTCTTCTCTGACAAGTCGATTGGGTAAGATTGAAAATTTCAAACAAAATGTTACAGAAATGCAATAGTTTCTCTATAAAAAAGCAGCACTCTGAGATGTATAAATTGAAGAAATAAAAATATAAATGTCTATATTTAAGTAAACAGTTAAAAAAGAATCGTGTCTTAAGAAAAGTTGCAAAATTTAAATAACATATACCATTTGTTATCAACTTGTGCCCGTCCTGAATCAAAAGATAAAACTGGTTCACCAATAAGGCAAGCGCTCTCAAATCTCCGCAGGCACATTCCTTTCAAAGAAACCAAAGTGCTATCAGGATTTAGAAACCATGGAACACTCAAGGCATAATATATGAATAGATTTAGGCCACAAGATAACCAAAATCCATCACATTTTCTGCTTGAAGTTCACAGAAAATTAAGCACTAATCCCATGAATAAAATTCAATGCATATTATAAGAGAGTAATGCATTTCTTTTATAATTTGGTGGGAGGAAAAAGAGTTGATCATGATTTCTGTATTTTTTATATGAAATGGCGTTTTAGGAATATTTCGTATTTCATTGAATACAATTAACATATAGGAAAAACACAAAATTGTGAAAGAATATGTAAGAACCTATAAAGCCCAAATACTCCAAAAATGACAAAGTATTATTATTATACTTGTATATAATGCAGATGCATGTATGATATCCAAGGAGTATCATCCAGTTTTTTTCACTTTTTTTAAGAATTTTTGTTTACAGATACATTTGGAATACATCTCTGATGCTTTGAATAGGATTAAATTATACACAGCTCCAGTACAAGTCTATTCTCTTCCTCTATATCATTTGTAAAATATGTCTCTCTACAAACATTTGGAAATTTATGTAAAATATGCTTTTGTTTTAATTCATGCTAACATATCTAAACCTAATCATATTCATATCTTGAATTTTTAAGAATTTGTATCAAGTATTTGGGTTTTATAGGTAGCAGCACAAAAACAAATGCAAAAGTGAAAAGTATAATATCAATTCTCAATGTATTTGCCAAGATCACATAATAATAATATAGCCCCTAATGATGATAGAAGTAATATGGGAAACAGGCGATTTTTAAAGCAAAATCAAAGAAAATACTTGATTAAGGTAAAGCAATATAGGGCCAGAGTTAAAACTAACAAAATACAATGAGACTCACCAATTATGCATCGACTCATGATGAGATTAGTTGCTACACCGTCTTTTTTGGCTTGAGAAAGGAGCATTTGAGCTGCTTCCATATCATCCTTTCTATCAAGGGAGGCAAAATAGGAAATTGGTTGAGAAATAAACTAAACTAAACCAAACAATTAATTTGATAACAAAATCCTCTTAGACCACTTACTTCTCGCTGGCCACTATAAGTATTGAGTACGTGATACTGTTTGGACGCAATCCTAATCCTTTCATTTCAAATAAAACCTCCAAAGCCTTTTGAAATTGATCTCCATCACCTGTATGGAAATCATACAATGTTTATGAAACTCCATTTTCCCCATTAATCAGCTAAACTTAAAAAATGCTACAGCACAGATTGGGAAGACAACTGCAGCAAAACTAAGGTAGAAATGGTTGTCACACAATTCTTTTACAATAAATGTTTTAGGAAAAGAATCATTAACCAAAGTCAAATCAAGTTCAGTTACAAGTTTTTTAAGATCTGCTTCCTGCAGTTAGAAGTTCAATTAAATGTACGAAAAAGTACTCAGTAACTGTAATGGGGTTGAGGCAGATTAGCAATTTCACAATAAAATTCTCTCTGATTCTCTCACTCTTTCTTTCCACCACACCATTCTATTTCTCTCTTCTTCTCATTTTGTTTTAATTCTGGTCGCCAAATGTGACAAGTTATTAGAGTTCTTGCCTTGGTTAAGATTATATTCCTAGAGGTATTTTAGTACTAAGCAATCCGAGTTTTAAATTCAGGATTTATTTGTGTCTCTGTAAATAGTGACTCATGCCTCGCCTTCACTTGTCGACAATGGTCCCCTAACTTTGACTTGTCCCAAGTAAAGCAATAACTTACAAGTTATTACCCAAGAATGAATGAAGAGTAAATTTTCTAAGAAATGTTAGCTTTAGCTGCCTAGTCATGTGATGAGTCTCCTTTGGTCTCTCGTATCTCTCCATCTTCAGATACTACACCTATTAACTTAAAGTTCCTTGAATTCACATACTTCAGATTTGCAGTTATTTTTTTTTAAAAGGAACTACTTTTCCAAGCTATTGATCAGCTTCCTAATCAAACATTTAGTGCTGAAGCATAAAGAACCTGAGTAAATGTAATAATGAAAAGAAAGAAAGATAAAAGTCAAACTTACAAAGTGCAGTGAGCAAAGCATTAATTGTTGAAACTGTTATCGTCAATTTAAGAGATTTAATATATTCATATAGCTCCAATGCTTTCTGCCAATTTCTTGCCTGGAACAAGCATTTGCCACTAGTTAGTAGCATATTTTTTGGCATGATGAATTCAATGCAGGCAGCAAAAGATTTGAAAAAAAACACGAGTTACATGGAAAAGACCCATTTTGTACACAGTAGTTGTCGTAGGTCATACTTGTACAATATTATTTTTAGTTTCTAGATTCATGGTCATCTTCCTTAGATACTACACTGAAAGATTACAATCCTACATCCATACATATTTCTTAATTAAAATCAATAGCTAGAATGCCTGGTAATTAAAGAAAAACTCGTACCTTTATTACATCCCCCATTCCCCTAGTAGAAAACCTAATAACAGTCATTAAATGAATTGAATTTTCCCAAATTAATGACTTTATTTAAAACATAAAACATCTTTTATCATCTGTTTTTTAATACATAATTCAAATGCACTCTATTATCCCATAAGTAGACCTTCATTCTAACTAAGTTCCTTTACCTTTTATGTATACTCTACAATTTTAGCATGTTCAATGCACAGATATGTATAAATAAATACTATGTTTGGATAATATACATTTTATTTAAAATTAATATACAAAAATATTTTTAAATACATAAATTATATTTTAGATTTATGATAAATAATTTGTATTGTAACAGAAAATTTATTTTTATTTATTGATAATTTATTTTAAAATATTTAATTCATAAATAACTTTGATAAATAAAAATCAAATTAGATAAGAAGTTAAAAAAATTCCTACAAATCCTCTCATTGAAGAAAAACCCCTAAAAACACTCTCGTGCAAAATAAAAATTGGTGTTTAATATATAAAGGTTGATATCAATAATTAATTTTTTGGGTTGCATGACTAAAAGATAGCTCCGAGGGTAACACCGGACTCATTAATGATATTTTGATTCATGACAAAAGGTTTTCCTTTTCTTTCCAACTTAAATTAAATCATATTACTTGACCAGACATACATTGCTACAGGCACCCATCAATGAGCTATATGACATTATTCCAATATTAATTCCTCCTTTACGGGCTTCTTGCAAGACATCAAAGGCAGCATCCAGCATTTTAGCATGCCCAGCAACATCTATTAGTGCACTTAGAAACATCTGCATGATGAGTCAACTTCAGTAAGCAAACAACATAATAGAAAGGATAAAACTTCACATACAAGAATGGATTTAAGAAACCACCATACAAATAAAAGTTTTATAAGTTTTAAAATCCACATAAACTAAATATTTTAATAATCCATATCACCAAGAAATTTTTTTGAAAAAAAAAAAAAGAAAAGTACCTCATCTGGGAGGATCCCGTTCTGGGTCATGTCATTGTATACAGTTCGAGCGAATTCCCAATCTCCAGTTTGGCTGCAAGAATTAATGGCAATGGTGTAAACTTCTGGACATCCCTTTATGTTATATTTTTGTATCATCTTGTACACTTCCTGTGCTCGTTCAACCTGCAAAAAAAACAAAAAACAAAAAAATCAGTATTGTTACACATTAAATAGATTTCTAGTAAAGTACAATAAGCGGTGATTGGAGAAGAAAGAAACCACACCTGACCACATTTTGTACATGCCTTCAACAATGCACCTATAGTTATGTGATCTGGGTTGATGGGTTGTGTTTCAGCTGCCATTTCTGCTAACACATCAAAAGCACGATCTACTGCTCCTGATTGGGCACAAGCAGATATAAGTGCATTGAATACAACACGATCTGGCTTCACGTTCTACTGCATACAAACATCATATCAGCATGAACAATTAAAAAACTGTGAGGAACTCAACTCATACCACTATGAATATAGTTAGTTAGAAAGACACGTTGCAATAATTGTACCTTTGACCTCATTATCCCATAAGCACCAAATGCCTTAGCTACTTGCCCAGCTCTAGCACAACCATCAATAAGTGCTCCATAGGTATGAACATTAGGTTCCACTCCAGAATTAACCATCTTGTGAAACACCTAAGCACACAGATTAACATTTTTATTGGTTATAGAAAAATATATTACATGTAATAATATCATGCTATGTTGAGTTGAAGAGAGATATTGTACTTCAAACATTAGATCAACTTTCCCACTCTTTGCACAAGTTAATATCAAAGTGGTATAAAGTTTGCAATCAGGTTCTAGTCGAGCATCCTTAAGAAGCTGCAAAACTTGGAAAGCCCCTGAATACACAATACAAATGTCATGAACTGAAAAGATGACAAAGAAGGAGCGTTTCAGAGGGTAACCAGGATATTTACTTTCTGAATCTTGGGAGCGTGCACACACTGACATAAGCATAGTAAATGTACTCAGCGTTGGATTTGGAATAAGCCTAGTGTAATCAAAAGCTTCTTTAACAGCCTTCCGTTTCTTGCAGATGTTAAAAAACTTGGCATGATAAACCTATAACCAGTAAAAATGGCATGTAAGAGGAACACAATTGAAGAACAGAATATCAAGTAACAGTCAGAAAGATGCGCGTACCTTGGTCATGTCCAATAAACCCTTTGTTTCCACATCTTTAAGCAATTCCACACATTCATGTAACCTAACAAAATCAATGTACTTCAGGATAAGCTCCCCAAGCTTAAAAGTTATAGTAAAAGTGGGTTAGAAGGACATCATGATCATATTAGTCAATAAATAAGAAAGGGGTGAAGGAAGGAGTTTCGCCTCATTTTTTAATTCAAATCAAATTTGTTTCATGTTTAAAACTCCAACAAGCCGTATTCTCATAAACAAACAAGATTCTGCTTTTCAGCTCTCGTTGGAGGCAGATCAGGTTAGCAAATTACCTGCCAGCTTTTAGCAAATTATTGTATTTGTTAAGATGCTTTGAAGGATCAATTGTCTGATCATCATGCACCATGATCTGATCATTTTTCTGATCAACATGCACCTTGATTGAGTGAGCATTCAGGGGGAAAACATTGTTATTATTGTGATCCATATTGTTCCTTTCCCTGTCTCTTAAAGAGCTGCTGCCTTTCCTCAAGATTTTACTCACAAGTTGTGGAGGGTAGCCTTCTTTGTGACTGGAAATTTTAACTGCTCCTTTGACGTGTTCTGAATCAACAAACATGGTTTACATATGAGTTTTCTTTTGAATTTTGGATTGCTCATCACGATATTTTGCAAAGATTTGACCAACTATATCAATAATTAATTGATATATGATAATGCATTTTCTTTCATGTAATTACCTGCCCTTTGAAGAGAAATATCTGTAGATAGTCCTGATGATTTTAGTGTGCCATTTCCCATCGCTGAGGGAAATCCTTTTTTATTCATAAAAGAAGCACGGGGAGAAAATGACTTTAAACCACTCAGTGGTGTCATGGATCCAGTTGCAGACTTGTTATCCTCATAAAACATGTACAGCCCCTCCCTGACTGATTCACTGAAAAAGAAATCACCATTGATGGCACCTAGTTCAATTTTTTCCTTAGTATGTTCATCAACCGTCGCCAATGCATCATTTACACAAGCAGGAGAAGCAGTATGCTCAGATTTAACCATATCCAAAGGCAACTCGAGATCAGAGTCAACTTTATCTTGACTTTCTTCCACTTGTATAGCCATTTCCTCAGCAAACTCTAGAGGCTGCAACGAACTTGGCGGGAAAGACATTGATAAAAAAGACTCATCCAATACCTTGGAGCTGTTACTATTGGCACCGGAGTCAATAACAGACGACGAAGACTCTGATGCCTCAGTCGCGACGGCCACTTCCTGCACCACCGAAGATTTCAAAAATAGGTAGTCTTCCTCATGGTGTTCCTTCAACTTGGCCATTTCAGCCAGTGTGCTATTATTATCGGTTTGAAATTCCGGAAAACCGAGAATCTGTCCATCAATGACCTGGTTCCCAACACTAGTTCCCTGCGGCGACAACACAAATTTGGCATGTCCACGTGTCTGCATTAACGAAAGAGTAAGGAACATGCTAATTATAGAAACACGCAATCAATAACTCACGAATTACACATTCGCAGCAGTAATTCTCCATCCGTAAACCTAAAAAAGCATCTAATGAATATCGTAACTAAGCTGAAGAGTTTCCAAATTACTGGATACGAATCCATTTAAAACGAGTAGAATACAGCGACGCTGTTATTGTATATGGAAAAAAGAGAAAGAGATGAAGAGTGAGTGAGGGTTAGGGTACCTGGTTGAGAGATTTCTTTCTCTTGTTGAGAGTGAAGTGGAGGAAGGAAACGGCGGAGAGAGTGACGACGAGGACGAGGACGATGACGGAGTGAGAAGTGAAGGAGGCCTTGAAGACGAAGCGAGGGGAGTGGAGGCGGAGGAGGCGGAGGTTGTTGCGGCGGTTGTTGCGGGAGCGGAGGGAGGGGGGAGGAGGGCGGAGAGCGTGGAGGGAGCCGAGGAAGTGAGTGCGGAGAGTGGAGAGGGAGGGAGTGCGGGAGGTTAGGGCGAGGGAGCGGTGGTGGTTGAGAGAGAAAGAGAGGTTAACTTCCATGGATGAAGAGGAGAGAGAGAGAGAGAGAGAGAGTTTGCATTAGCATGAAGGAGAGGAGAGGAGAGGAAGCAGCTTACCTTAGCTTAGCTTAGCTTCTATTGTGCAACCAGAGACACGACTTCTTGCTCATCCGAATTATTGCTCACGTGGCGCATTTTTGTTTTTCCGTTATCACACAGACCCCTCCCACTCCACATTCTATAAATAACCGTTACTACCAACTTTTTACTACTACCGTCTAACCACCTTAGAATACAATGTCTTTCTTTCTTCACTATTTTTAACTTACTAAACCTTAAAATCACAATGTTTATAAAAATTTTATTTCATCTAACAACTTTCTCTCTTCATTTAATATAAGATTTATTAAAATTTATAATTTTCAACGAATAATAAGAGAGTATTAAAAAAAGTGTCACTCACAATTTTTTTTTATAATTATATCCAAGCTATTGAAGTTATTTTAGGCAACATTATTTTATTATTATTTGTTATCTTTATTTGAGTTTTATTACACAACACTATTTTATTCAAACTCATTTTCAATTCTTTTACATTATCTTAATTTTGGTTGTGGTTGGATAAATATCAATATGAAAAGAATAACATGGAAAAGAATGAGAAAAAAATGTAAAAGAGTTCCATGTGACACATTGTTGCATTTAGGGTTGACGATTATTCTTACAAACCAACATTAGATATTTCAAACTCTCACATTTTATAGAAACTTTTCACGAAGTTATATGTCCCAAAATTACTTCAAGTCAATCACATTTGAATATGAAAATTTTAAATAACGAGTTATTGAAAATTAAATGCATTAGATTGATATATAATTTATTTTCTTATAAGTTATTATCATTTGTATAGTTATATACTTGTACAACATCTAAATCTCTTTCATTTCTTGATTCATTTATATGTCCCTCCCGTTAAAAACTTACTAGGAATTGTTCCTTGTCCATGACTCGTATTTTTTTTTTTGATATTCACGAATTGGTTTGATTCAAATTTGAGATAAACTAAAACTCAAACGAAACAATTTTGATGATTTGATTTGGATTAGATTTATTGAAGAAAATTTGCAATCCAAATCAAACTAAACTATTTAATGAAATGAAAGATATTTTTTTTCTTAAAATATAAAAATTCATTATTTTATTCCAAAATTTAAAATTAAAACTTATTATTAAAATGGTGTAAATAACATTTAAGTGCAAATAAAAAAGTAATGTAGGAAATATGAAATTAAAGTAGTTAAATATAGTCAAATATTTGAAATTAAAGAATTATAATATTTTAAACTAAGATAGTCTTTCAAGCATAACTAAAATATCTAAGTGACAATCATTATTTAAGTAGTCTTATATATTCTAATAAAGTAGTCTTTATATATTCTAATAAAATTATTGTGTTACTAATAAATCATAATATTAAGATAATAACTATAATAATAAAATAAAATAAATAATAATAATTTTAATTTATTTGTTTTTCATATTATTGAATTTGTATAATGAAAATCTATTATCCAAACTAATTAAGATCAAATTTAGTTGTTTTTTATTATATTTGATCTTATCAAGAAAATTTGTAAAATGAAAATATGTTATCCAAACTGATTAAGATCAATTTTAATTGTTTTATATTGAATTTCATCTAATAAAAGAAATAAAACTAACTTAATTAATTTAATTAACACTATTAATTTTGTCTTATTGTTCAAATTGAAAAACTGTGCTAATAGCCCTCGTTAACATTAGAAATGCTGTATGTTTATCAACTTCTACTTGATTCATCAAATCATGTAGTTCATCTATACTAAAAAAGACCTTCTATTTTATTGTGTTTAGAGCTATCAAAACGAGACATCTGACTCACCACGAGTTGATCAATAGGTGGATTAACCTAACCTGACTCATCTTTTAGTAAGCTTACAAAAAGGGAACTCGACCTGATCTACCACATTAAATAAGTTAGTTACTTGTTTTTTAAAAAATAAAAAATGTTTTTTTTAATGTTCAGTACTCCGACAAAAGGAGAGGTTTTGTGTGGAACAGGAGCAATCATACAAGGGTGGTGCATGGTGCAAGAGAGGTTGTGCGTGGAACAATGGTGATCGCATGATGGTGGTTGTAGGGTGGTGATGAGTAGTGCGGAGGGGTCTATGTGTGTAGAACGTGGCAATCAGGCGATGACGATAACACAATGATAGTTGCGTGGTGATGGTCACATGGTTGCATGATCATGACGAAGACGTTAAAGAGGCGAAAATAGACGAATAAGGAACCCTAAGTGGCTAAGTCCCTAACGCAAAAAGGAAATGCCTAAGTGAGTGTGAGTGTGAGTGTGATATTGTCTTGGGACTTAGGATGAGTCCCAACAAACCTCCTCTCAGACTTTCCTTCCTCATATGTGTGTGACCTTTGTGTGGTTGAGTTTGTTATGGATTTTTTTTTGGTTATTGGACTATGACTTGTGGGTTCAATTTTTTTTTATTTATTAATAAGTTCAATTCAAGTGAGCCTAGTTCTTAGTGGGTCGAACTAGATTTTTAATAGTATTAAAATTTATAAATTTTTTTAAGTTCAATCTAACTTGAATCTCATAGATTAATTGACTCATGAATTATGACTCGTTTTAACACCTATAATTGTATTTGTAGTTAAATATTGTTGATATATCTAATTATTTAACTTATGTATAATTTGTTAATATTTTCTTATTTAATTAGTTAGTATTTAAATTTAAGATTTTATATATATTACTTTAAAACATTATACTTAAACCAATTCTATTTCTTAACATTTATCTATCACACATTGTTGTAGTACATTTTCTTTACCGTTTTTATAAATGTTGTTACATATCCAAACAATTTTTTATTATTATAAATAATTGTCATTTGACAGAAAAAAAAATAATTTTTAATATATATACCAATAAAATGTTTATAACTTTTATCACTATGAGTTTAACTATTTTTAAATAAATACTTAATTAATTTACCACTGAACTAACTCAGTAATGAATATAAACTTTTGAAACAATTTTTTCTGTACCTATGCATTTTTTTTAGAGACCACATGTAATTTGTTTTATGAAAAACAATTTTGTCGAAATTTAATAAAATCATTAAGAACAATAATATTATAATATTTAAATTTAAATCATTACTTAAATTAAAATAACCACATATATATATATATAATATTTTTGGTAATACATATATTTATACATAGATATTATTATTGTTAATATTGTTAATTCATCATATTTAAAATATTATTCATTTTAACTTTGTTTGACCGTGATAATTTTATCTTTAAAAAGATATATTTATAAATTACTATTAATTTTGTATTAATTTTGACTCTTAAATAATATGAAACTATTAAATATAAAATAATAAAAAATACCAATTATAAATGCATCTTATATTTTTAATATACATCAAACATCATTCATTAGAGGAATTAAATATTACTAAAAGAATAAGGTATATTTAAATTAACAAAAAAAACAAATCAAATAAATAAAATGACACTAATTATTATTACTATTAAAACTAATTAAAATTAAATAAAAGCAAAATCTTAAATATATTTTCCTTAAATAATAACAAACCAGCACCAAAGTGGAAGAAAGAGGTGTTATGATATAGCAAAGTGTTGAACTTACTGTGCACAGCAAAACAACTTTTATCCAATCAAACCACCGCTCT